ATACTTAGCGCTACTAAACTATACACTTAAAAATGATTAAGAGGGTAAATTTTGTTATGTGAATTCTACCTCAATTTTTTCAAAAAGATTTTTTTTTGGGGCCAAGCATGGTGATTCACGCCTATAATTCGAGCACTTTGGGAGGCCAAGGTGGGAGGATCACTTGAGCCCAGTAGTTAAGAGACCGGTCTGGGCAACATAGGGAGACACCATCTCTACAAAAAAATAAATAAATGAAAAATTAGCTGGGCATGCTGGCACATGCTACTCAGGAGGCTGAGGTGAGAGGATCACTTAGCCCAAGAGGTAGAGGCTGCAGGGAGCCATGATTGCACCACTGCACTCTAGCCTGGGAGACAGACAAAAACCTTGTATTTATTTATCAACAAATAAAAAGCTTTCGCCTCCTCTCGCAAGATGTTACAGTGATCACAGATTTAGGAGTAGTTTCTGAAAAGACCATGTCCTTTCCTGCCTAAATGCTAATACATAACTTATATAACTCTCTAAACTATTTGTAGTTTTAAAGCAATGACTTCAAATTTATTTCAGTAATTTTTTTGAGTCTCTCTTTTTTTTTTTTTTTTTTTTTTGAGATGGAGTTTTGCTCTGTTGCCTAGGCTGGAGTGCCCTGGCATGATCTCGGCTCACTGCAAGCTCCAACTCCCAGGTTCAAGCCAAGCGATTCTCTTGCCTCAGCCTTCCCAGCAGCTAGGATTACAGGCATGTGCCACCACGCCAGGCTAATTTCTGTGTTTTTAGTAGAAACAGGGTTTCACCATTTTGGCCAGGCTGGTCTAGAACTCCTGACCTTGTGATCTGCCTGCCTCAGCCTGTCAAAATGCTGGGATAATAAGCATGAGCCACTGCGCCTGGTCAAGTCTCTCCAATTGAAGTAACTGGTTTATAGATTCTGAGATGCATGTCTAAGGCTGCTCTTTCAATTACAATGAAACCACATTTTAATTACTGAACTAACAAAGCCTCTTGGGCTGTAAAAAAGAGCAGATGGGATGATTAACAGCAGCAGTTGTTGTATCAATGCCCAGGAAATTACGGGCATACCATAAATTAGTTTTAACTTTACATGCCTCAACTTCAAAATTCTTCAATGCTCCTCTCTGTCTCCAACATGCAACAAAATAAAAGATGAAGATTAACTTAAATTAGTAAAATGCTATTGAAGTCGGCCGGGCATGGTGGCTCACGCCTGTAATCCCAGCACTTGGGATGCCAAGGCGGGCAGATCCCTTGATGTCAGGAGTTCCTGACCAGCCTGGCCAACATGGTAAAACCCTGTCTCTATTAAAAATACAAAAGTTGGCCAGGCATGGTAGTGCGTGCCTGTAACCCCAGCTACTCAGGAGGCTGAGGCAGGAGAATCGCTTGAACCCAGGAGGTAGAGGCTGCAGTGAGCTGAGATTGTACCACTGCACTTCAGCCTGAACAAAAAGAGTGAGACGGAAAAATGAAGTCATTAAGTGTCTATTTGATGGCTTTTAGCTAATCAAATAAATGTTACCAGTTTTGTTGTTGTTTTGAGATGGGGCTTCACTTTTTCGCCCAGGCTAGAGTGCAGTGGTGCAATTCCGCCTCACTACAGCTTCAAGCTCCTGGGCTCAAGTGATCCTCCCACCTCAGCCTCACAAGTAGGTGGGACTACAGACTTACGCCAACATGCCAGGTTAATAATAGTTTTGACTTTGATCAACTGTGTTACCCATTTTTAAGGTTAACTTTTCTAATCCACTATTAGATGTTGTGGGGTTTTTTTGAGTAATTCCAGTTTACAAAATGCTCACCAACAAATACATCTCATGCCCTCAAAAAGTAAGCACTCTTTAAACGTTTATTATGGAGGGAACTCTTCTAAGCACTTTACGGCATTTTAATTTAATCTTCACAATAGTGGTAGAGGTGAATACTAGTATTACTCACTTTTTACAGGTGAGGAAACTGTAGAGAGTAATTAAGTACCATGTCCAGGGATAAGCTAGCCTGCCGTAGAGCCTAGATTTAAAACAGACTTCAAAGCCCACACTCTTACTTTGTTCTTCAATGTTGTTCTTTAAAATACCACAAGTGCTACAATCCTCTATCTTCTTTGGCTCACAACTAAAGTATTTACTGGATTACAATTTGTTCTTTATGGTTGTTTAACAAGACAGTTAAACTAGTGAGTTATCTTGGGGTCTTGGCATCCTGAAGATTAACATCAGGATGGGCAGCTTGAAAAATGGCTTACAGGTGCCATTTTAGTTTCTTTAGCAACTCAATTTTCCTAGGTCATACCTAAATAAAAATAATTATGCTTTCTGCGGTACAACAAGGTCATTCTGACCTCCTCACCCCCCTTTTGGCTGGAAATTAGGCGAAGGATTTTTACAGTCTTACAAAAAAGAGGTATTGATAACTCCATAAAGTATGGTAAGAGGAATCAAACTGAAGCCTCTTACATTTATTTTATAAATTTCTATTTTTTTTTTTTTTTGAGACAGAGTCTTGCTCTGTTACCTGGGTAGAGCACAGTGGCACAATCTCGGCTCACTGCAACCTCTGCCTCCCGGGTTCAAGTGATTCTTGTGCCTCAGCCTCCCTAGCTGGGATTACAGGCACGTGCCACCATGCTCGGATAATATCTGTATTTTTAGTAGAGACGAGGTTTTGCCATGTTGGCCAGGCTGGTCTCAAACTCCTAGCCTCAAGTGATCCTGCTGCTTCGGCCTCCCAAAGTGCTGGGATTACAGGTGTGAGCCACGGCACCTGGCCACTGCTTTAGGTAACTCTAGAAAGTAACTCCTCACTCTTCCAGGTTCCTTTTTGGAAAATAAATCAACATTTGCCTACGTGACCAATCACTTTCAGTGTCAGAGTTTCTGTTTTCATATTCTCAGTCTGTATATCATTCCAGCAGTTGCCAACAGTAGCTGTCTTCCATGACTTATAGGAGAATTACTAAAGGAATAGACTAAATATTTATTTTAAATAACAAACAGAAAGACTAAATTAGCAGCAATAATTATTTCTCAGGAATTCACCTGCAATCCCAGCTACTTAGGAGGAAGGGAGGATCTATTGAGCCCAAAAGTTCAAGACAAGCCTGGGCAATACACGGAGACTATGTCTCTAAAAACAAACAAAAAGTTTTTCCTGTTTTATGACAGTCACAAAGATTTATTATTTCTCAGAATAACAGACTTCATTTGACAGTTTTAGTTGTTATATTAGAATTATCAAGCATCTTATGAGCTGAGATTACAGACTCAATTTCTGAAGACAGGACAGGGAAAATCTGACATAAATGAGGAAAGCCTCAAACTTTTTCAGACCACATGTTGCATAACGAATTTACAGCTGTTTTATTTCGTTGGTTACACATTGAGTACTATCATGAGAAGCATCTAAATAGATAAATTCACAGACCCAGCAATGAATTTTACAGCCTGGAATAACCTATACCAAGTGGTATGAGTAAATATTCTCATCAAACAGCCCAAAACATCTCCACTGGTTCCAATAACTGATTACTGATTTCCACATCACAAAGATTAGTTTTTTCCAATACCTAACTCTTATTAGAGACCCGGATATTTATTATTGAGGCAGAAGAACAGGGTCAGCAGGCAGGGAACTTAAGGGCAATTCATGCTGAATCAAGGAAAAACACCAAGGTTTGGGGGCAGGGAATCTGAGGTCAATTTATGTTAACTTTCTAAAAGAGAAAACACCAAGGTCTGGGGGCAAGGAATCTAAGGCCAATTCGTGCTGACTTCCCAAAGCTGAATTCCCAAAAGGAACCCCCTGGGTCTAGGGGCAGGGAACCTAGGGCCAATTAAGGCCAACTTCCTAAAGCTAAACCAAAAGGAAAAACCCCATCTCCCCACGCTGGAGTGGCAAAGGATCAAAGGCTACTATCCCTGCAACCCTCCCCTTCCACATCTCAGATGGAAAGGGAGAGTGCCTTAGCCTGGCCACAGGCCAAGCAGGGACCATCGTTCATCTGTACAGGACGCCAATTCACCTCGGCCTTTAATTAGCCACAGACCAAATCCTTCATCCAGATAAGGGGTAACCCATAGGAACCACAAAAGGAGCACTCAAAACCCAGAAAACTTTGTAAGTGGGCTCTTGAGCCCCCTGCTCCGGGCCACTCCCACCCTGTGGGGTGCTTTCTCGCTTTAATAAATTCCTGCTTTCGCTGCTTCGTTTGTGTTTCATTCCTTTGTTATTTTGTGCGTTTTGTCCAATTATTTGTTCAAAATGCCAAGAACCTCGACAACTTACACTCAAGGGCCTCCTACCGGTAACATTACGGGAAACACCATTTCCTCCTCACATTTCAGATTTGCTTCCAGTGAGGTAGGTACTTGGGCACTTGAACGCATCCCTTTAAAAAGGAGAAAGCTTTCTGATCTATGTAGTGATTTATCTGGCAGTGCCTTCTCTCCATCAGCCTCTGGCCTTATTTTCCTGAAGATCAGATGAATCAACATAACTTTTGTAAACTAAGATCCAGAAAGGGCCTTTGGTTATTATCAGTAAATGCTGCGCTAAAGAAAGAATTGGTGGGCGGGTCACCACCCCAGGCTACTCTACACAACGCTATTCATCTTAGAAGCAGTAAGACGGGGGAAAGGTTTGCATCCCATTTGCTTATTCGGTCCTACTAAATCAGCCTTGGCAGGACACGACCTGCAAAATAACCCCGTGGATCCGTGGAGTCACCATACTGCAGGGTCAAAGGACGGCGTCGGCGGCTCTCCGCTGTTAGGGACCTAGCCGCGGAAGGCACCACAACCCTCATTCTTTACTCTTCCCGCCTGGGGGCCGGGAAGCCAAGCCTACCGCTCTGAGCACATCCAGGGTCCCCGGGCCCGGACTGCTGACACCGAGGCAAGGTCTCACCAGGCCCACTCTGCCCAGCCTCCCCAATTCTCGCTTAGCTTCTCTTCCCTTTCGGGGTGCCCTCCCGCCTGCTACCCCGAGGGATGCGAACTCACGACCACCGCGGCGCCGGTGAAAATGTCCTCCCCCTCGGTGTCGCTGTCCCCAGCCTCGGGTTCTGACCCCCCGGCCGCCCCCTCGGACTCCGGCTCCAGGCCGGGGAAAGGCGGAGGGAGTCTCCCCGAAGCGCTACAGCCACCACCACCCGACGCCATCTTCCTCCACCCGCGGCGGAAGCCGCAACAACAACTTTATCGAGAGATAGCGCCGTGAGCAAAGCGATCCAAGGGTGCGAGGAGTGGGAGGGCCGCAAGGGACCCGTGGGATCCAAGGGGCGGAGGCGCAGGGGCGGGGCCTTGGCGCCGGGGGCCGGGCGGCACCCGGCCAGCTGAGGCTGCCCGGCAAATCCGAGGCCTGGATCGCGATGCTGAGATATTAATGAGTGGGGCCAAAGGGGCAGAAAAGTAGGAGTTAGGGACTGCTCTGGTTCCTAGGGCCCTTTGTGCTCTGGATAGCTTTATCCAACAGGCTTCTAAGAGTTCGTCTGAATGAAGGAGTGTAACTAAAATGTTTGAAAACCTCTACATGCCATCTACCCATGCCAAGCACAATGCCCTCACAGAAGTCAGCACGAATTGGCCTTAGATTCCTCGACCCCAAAAATAAATATTTCGGTTGAGGTATCTGAACAAGACTGGAAGAAAGCTTCACCACTTATTCCTTGAGCAACATTCAGTTAATTCATTAAGAAATACAGATATTGAGCATCTACTGTATGCCTGGCAACTTGCTATGAGTTTCAGATACAGAAAAAAGGAAGGTATTTAATCGGCAGTTCAACATGTTCAATGCTACGGTGTGCTGTGGGAGCACAGGGAAAGAGATTATCAATTCTACTTGGAGAAGTCGGGAGGCCTCACAGAGGAAGTTAGACCTCAGTGTCCTAGATTTGGCTGGAAAAATGTTAGGATTATCCTCTCAATTGCTGTGGAGTAAGTGGAGTGGCATAGACAGCAGGGAAATTATTAAACCCTGATCAAAATTTCCCTGGGACCTAAGCAATTCATTGTCTGGTGATCCTAAAGCCTACATTAACTAGACAAACAGGACTGGAGTTTAAAGATAAATGGGCATGTTAGCATGGGACAATTCTGCAAGATAATCCTGTCTTCTCAATAGAGATGACATTTGTCACCATCTTTGACTAGAAGTTTAGTTAGTTTGGTTGTAACTGCAAATTCAGGGATGGACTCCCTCACAGGTCATGTGAGCTGTTTGAAGGCAGGGGCAGCGTTTTATCTTTGTATCTTCCATGCCTATGGATCACCTATGACAAATTAGTACCTATAAATTTAATCGGAGGGATGGATGGATAAAATAAAATCGATTTTGTTACTGGCATCCATTACACCCACGAACACCAGAGGGCTTAAGATACACTTTTTTTTTTTTTTCTTCGAGAGAAGTCTCGCTTTTCTCCCCCAGGCTTGAGTGCAATGGCTCGATCTCTGCTCACTGCAACCTCTGCCTCCCGAGTTCAAACGATTCTCCTGCCTCTGCCTTCCAAGTAGCTGGGATTAAGGTCCCTGCCACCACGCCTGGCTAATTTTTGTACTTCTTAGTAGAGACGGGGTTTGCCCATGTTGGCCAGGCTGGTCTCGAACTCCTGGCCTCAGGTGATCCGCCCGCCTCGGCCTCCGAAAGTGCTGGGATTACAGGCGTGAGCCACCGGGCCGGGCCAAGATACACTTTTAAGGATGACGATCTCCATTATGTCACCACTGTACACATTAGACACAGGAAAAGTTCTCCTGTTCTAAGTTGTCTTTGGAGGCCATTAGAAGAAATATTCGTTCGAAGGTGGGAAGCTGTGCTGGGCGGGACTGAGTTCCTTAGGAGACGAGAAAGCCAAAAAGCCTTCCCCATGCCATGCCTGACGACCTTACTGGCTTCCCCTGACGTCCCTTTTCACAGCAGCTGAAACCCACTTCCTGTCCGATCAGGAAGTAAGAAAGATTTTGGCTGTTAGCGGCTCCCGCGGAGAAATAACTGTAAAGAGTCCCCGTGCTGGAAACCTCCTCCAACACTAGAACTCAAGATCTCCTTTCCCCTACCTCTTCGGGATTCATCTTTAACTTATCATGGATACTGAGTGAGATAGTCGCGGTTAACAGACCGTTACATCCACGTCTACCCGGCAGACACTACAAGACCCAGAATACAGTTCGCTGCCTTCCGAAGAAAATAGCTCACGCATCCCAGCATGCAATGCGCTAACGAGGCCGCGAAGATTGTTTTTGTCCCGCCGAAACCGAGCAAAGCACGCTGGAACTTGTAGTCCTTGAGGCCCCTTCCTTAGGTCCTTCAAGCTACTCCGTCCGGCCCCGCCTATTCTCTGCTCTCCTGAACCTTTAGGCTCATCTCGGCCCATTTGAAGACCAGGAAGTTGATCAATCCCGAGGCTGCTGAGAGACGGTGGCGCGAGTGGGACAATCGCCAGGGATGGCTGAGCGTGAGGATGCAGCGGGTGTCCGGGCTGCTCTCCTGGACGCTGAGCAGAGTCCTGTGGCTCTCGGGCCTCTCTGAGCCGGGAGCTGCCCGGCAGCCCCGGATCATGGAAGAGAAAGCGCTAGAGGTTTATGGTAATTAATTTTACCCGGCTCAGCATTTGGCGTTATAGGTGCAGGCCAGAGCTGAGGGGTGCGGGGATGATGGCCTCACCTGAGGGCTGGGAGGGGAGACCAGTTTTTTTTTTTTTTTTTCTGGCCAGATCTTGTCCGGGGCGTAGCAGGCACTTTCTTCGGGGTCCTAAGTCACGGGGGAGTGTGGGTCTTTCTGGGAACTGGACTCTGAAAGTAAACCTGGGGCAAGCCGACTCCGGAGGTCTTAAGAGCTTCATTCTCCACGTGTGGCCTACGTCTTAGTGACCATTCCAAGACTTGTGGGAAGAGCACAAGTCTAGGGTGCTTGGTTAGGAAGCAAAACTGGCCTGATTGCACTACTAGAGCCTCGTTCTCTGGCTCCTGGACACACACTTTTGCTACCGCTGAGGGCACTTATAGGTGACAGTCGAGTTGGGGACTGGCCCAAGGTCACAGCCTCTCTCTCCGGCAAAGTCAGTAAGCAGAGGTCCCCGAAAGAAGAGAACGAGATTGGCTTCTCGTTTTATCTTTGTATCTTCCATGCCTATGGATCACCTATGACAAATTAGTACCTATAAATTTAATCGGAGGGATGGATGGATAAAATAAAATCGATTTTGTTACTGGCATCCATTACACCCACGAACACCAGAGGGCTTAAGATACACTTTTTTTTTTTTTTTCTTCGAGAGAAGTCTCGCTTTTCTCCCCCAGGCTTGAGTGCAATGGCTCGATCTCTGCTCACTGCAACCTCTGCCTCCCGAGTTCAAACGATTCTCCTGCCTCTGCCTTCCAAGTAGCTGGGATTAAGGTCCCTGCCACCACGCCTGGCTAATTTTTGTACTTCTTAGTAGAGACGGGGTTTGCCCATGTTGGCCAGGCTGGTCTCGAACTCCTGGCCTCAGGTGATCCGCCCGCCTCGGCCTCCGAAAGTGCTGGGATTACAGGCGTGAGCCACCGGGCCGGGCCAAGATACACTTTTAAGGATGACGATCTCCATTATGTCACCACTGTACACATTAGACACAGGAAAAGTTCTCCTGTTCTAAGTTGTCTTTGGAGGCCATTAGAAGAAATATTCGTTCGAAGGTGGGAAGCTGTGCTGGGCGGGACTGAGTTCCTTAGGAGACGAGAAAGCCAAAAAGCCTTCCCCATGCCATGCCTGACGACCTTACTGGCTTCCCCTGACGTCCCTTTTCACAGCAGCTGAAACCCACTTCCTGTCCGATCAGGAAGTAAGAAAGATTTTGGCTGTTAGCGGCTCCCGCGGAGAAATAACTGTAAAGAGTCCCCGTGCTGGAAACCTCCTCCAACACTAGAACTCAAGATCTCCTTTCCCCTACCTCTTCGGGATTCATCTTTAACTTATCATGGATACTGAGTGAGATAGTCGCGGTTAACAGACCGTTACATCCACGTCTACCCGGCAGACACTACAAGACCCAGAATACAGTTCGCTGCCTTCCGAAGAAAATAGCTCACGCATCCCAGCATGCAATGCGCTAACGAGGCCGCGAAGATTGTTTTTGTCCCGCCGAAACCGAGCAAAGCACGCTGGAACTTGTAGTCCTTGAGGCCCCTTCCTTAGGTCCTTCAAGCTACTCCGTCCGGCCCCGCCTATTCTCTGCTCTCCTGAACCTTTAGGCTCATCTCGGCCCATTTGAAGACCAGGAAGTTGATCAATCCCGAGGCTGCTGAGAGACGGTGGCGCGAGTGGGACAATCGCCAGGGATGGCTGAGCGTGAGGATGCAGCGGGTGTCCGGGCTGCTCTCCTGGACGCTGAGCAGAGTCCTGTGGCTCTCGGGCCTCTCTGAGCCGGGAGCTGCCCGGCAGCCCCGGATCATGGAAGAGAAAGCGCTAGAGGTTTATGGTAATTAATTTTACCCGGCTCAGCATTTGGCGTTATAGGTGCAGGCCAGAGCTGAGGGGTGCGGGGATGATGGCCTCACCTGAGGGCTGGGAGGGGAGACCAGTTTTTTTTTTTTTTTCCTGGCCAGATCTTGTCCGGGGCGTAGCAGGCACTTTCTTCGGGGTCCTAAGTCACGGGGGAGTGCGGGTCTTTCTGGGAACTGGACTCTGAAAGTAAACCTGGGGCAAGCCGACTCCGGAGGTCTTAAGAGCTTCAGTCTCCACGTGTGGCCTACGTCTTAGTGACCATTCCAAGACTTGTGGGAAGAGCACAAGTCTAGGGTGCTTGGTTAGGAAGCAAAACTGGCCTGATTGCACTACTAGAGCCTCGTTCTCTGGCTCCTGGACACACACTTTTGCTACCGCTGAGGGCACTTATAGGTGACAGTCGAGTTGGGGACTGGCCCAAGGTCACAGCCTCTCTCTCCGGCAAAGTCAGTAAGCAGAGGTCCCCGAAAGAAGAGAACGAGATTGGCTTCTTGTAGCGAGGCCTTGTATACACACACATCACACACATACACACTCTTACATATTGTATATTAAATATTTTCTGTTTAACCCTTGGGGCCATCTTTATTGTACAAACAAGGAAACGAAGGTTTAAAGAACTACCTGGAGGTCACACTGCCAGTAAGGAGCAGCGCAAAAAAGCCAAGACTGTGCCTTCTGGCTCTAAACTTAATGCACTTTCCACCATTTCACGATTGACTTACAACTGTTTTTTGTTTTTTAAATTATGTTGTATTGTTTTTGAAAACCGAAAAGACTGGATATAATATTGAGAGATCT